GGGGGTTACACCCTCACGTTTATTATTGTTCAAAAGTTCTCGCCATCTGAGAACAAAAAATACATACAATTAGGATCCAGGATAGCGCGTGTTAGGAAATCATGACATTATTCCAGACCATTTGACCTAGCAGCTCGTGATGTCAGCCTGAAAAAAATTTCTAGACACTGGAAGACCGTAGCCAGGAAAAAATTATAACTGATGAGGCAATCTCAATGAAAAGGTTAAGACTGAAGCCATGTTCATAGTTAAATTCTCTTCTTTTTTAGGGTGTTTATGATGACTATAAACAACAAAAACCGAAAAAAAAAAAATGACCGAGACAAGTGCCTCTGTTTGCTTGTTACTTACTACGATCCTGCTGTGCAAGGTTAATCGGAGGGTTGCGGAAGTTGAGAGGCGGAAAAGTCTCAGAAGGTGCAAGGGTTTGTCTGTTTCTGAGAGAGTGGCATTCCACAGAATCTTCAGCAATTTTTGCGAGGCTTCTGCGAACCTTTGGACATGGAAATGTATTTCTCAAACTCACTAATATTTTATCAAGTTTAAACAAAGGAAATCATGACCGCGACGGTGTTTGGATATCTGATCTTAGGTGTTTACGACTTTATTTCTCCGTTTTTACCTTAGTTTTAGTTTAGACTGAGAAGATATATCAACCACTCAAAACAGCGTTTAACCACATTTCCAAACACCTCGAGGTTAGTCAAAAATACTCCGCTGCGTATCGTATGTCAACTCTCTTCTCTGTGTTTGGAAATGTGGTCAAACACGGTCTTTCGTGTTTGATATATTACTTGAACGCGTTCAAAAATTGATCAGAAACATTCTGTGATCAACTTTGTTCAGCATTTTGCACATTCTTTTCCTGTGGCATAAAATAGTTATTAGATTAAAGCAATCTACTCATTCGTACCTTTCGTGTTTGATTATCTCCAAACAATTCCCCAAATGCCCAGCTTTTATTGCTGCATCCAAGCAGTTGTATCCACTTGTTGAGACTATCGTTAGATCTGCTCCACATGTAATCAGCTTTCGAAGAGCGCATGTGTGTCCAAAATAAGCCGCCTTAACCGCAGCAGGTTTCTAAAAAGAAAAACAACTGAGAATGATATTATATGTAATAAAAATATGCCAAAATTAAACATTTAAATGTTGTTAAACAATTAAATGTTTTGTGTTTTAACCGTGGACTTGAAAGTACTCACAAACTGGAAAAAGATGTTGAGATATAGCCTGAACTGTCCATCATCTTAGTCTCAGCCTAATTCCCGGGCATATTTCAAGCTAGCTGAAATAAACCTTTTGGTCAAATGTGAGCGTGGATTCAGAGGCACTTTAACTGTTTAAAAATTTAAGGTGTCTCTGGAGCTACTCTATAAAATGTTACAAGAAATTGTGTATGTAATTCTAATTGCCGTCCGATGATAAGAAATAGGGGTCACTGAACTATTTTTTGAGTTATAAGCACTTAGAGTTAACAGGTCATAACGTTACCATCGCAATATCTAACGTCGCGATAGTAATCATAACTTGGTCACCAATGTTTGAGCGTTTGTTTGATTCCAAATTAGACTACGAATATTCCCCCTTTCGCTTAGTTATAGCGGTTTTCTTTCGCCTCACACACGACAGACTCAGCGAAAGAGATTCAACACGTAGTCTTTTGTAGCATCAACTTAAAACAGAAGCATATCACCTAGATAGGTGATATGCTTCTGCTTAAAAGCAATGGCAGTGGTGATAGCTGTTGTAATCCACCTTGATTTAAACATCGCCAAAGAAAATCGTCAACAAGTGGATATTTTCTCCAAATTCCCAACTAACAGATCGAAAACTGATTATTGTACGGATAGATTAACGAAAGCATTGTTCCTCGAATATCCTTGTAGTAGAAGACAGCATTGTGCTTTAGTATTTTAATTATTTATGGCTACGGTAGAACTCTACTCACTCGATTTTTGTCAAGACTATTGATATCCGCTCCGTAATGAAGCAGAGTGTCTATTGTCACAGGGCAACCGTGAATTGCTGCGTGGAATAACGGTGTAAGGCGATCTTCATCCCTATGTAAGACAGGAAAAAGACTAAAATTCAAGTGGGTGTAACTTGCCGCGAGAAGACACACTTAATAATGCCCCATTCACACCAACTAAAATAGTTTAACTTAGTCAGAGATTACACAGGGAGGCAGCGTGGCCGAGTGGTTAGAGCGCCGAATTTGAAATCAGTAGGTCCCGGGTTGAACTTCAAGTCCCGTTCTGACCGCTAGCTGATGTTGTTCTCGGTAGCCTTGAGTTCAACTTTTTGGCTGCGCTTGAGCCAACTGGTCTGCCTCCCGCCTTTTGGGATTCTTAACCTAGTTATGTTTATTTGAATATTTATTTATCATTGTTTGTTTACATTGGTCCTGAAAAGCCCTAATGGGGAGTGGCCAATTAAGTATACATTTTTTTTAC